ACAAAAGACAAAAATCATGGCCGTGTATCTTTCCATATTCTAGCGGAAGATTCACTCTCATTTTGCACATTTCGAGAGTAGTGCAGCGAGGCCCATTGAGCTGCTTTGGGAACGAAAGGAAGGGAAGGCGTTGCTTCCTTCGGCGCAGAACTCCTAGGAACTTCCGGAGTAAGGTTGCCAAAAAAAAAAAAAAAAAAAAATCAAACAAAAAATCGAGGGATCTATCCTGAGACTAATGGGCAGTTAGTTGACCCGACACAATTTTTTTTTAAACAAGAACATGATCTTATATTCCAAATGACAGAGGTGACAAGATGAGGCCGGGGTCCTCACAATTCAACCCGGGTTATCTGACAGCATCAGCCAGCTTAGCTTACAGGCTTACGCCTGCGGAGGTCAGTTTACTGACTTCCAGACTTCCGACTTCCTGACCTACCTGACGGACACAAATTCCAATCCTAGTGCAATGGAAGGAACAGAAAAATCCGCAGACCAAGTACTGAGGGTCGTTCGTGCTGATGGGCTGGACCCCTCCTCTGATGGAATAATATGAAGGCAATAATGTTAGGGTCGAAACGAACTTCATGAGGAGGGAGGTTATGATAAACGAAGGAAAGTGAAAAGAATCAGACAGCCGATGAGATAAAAATAAGGGCATACTCACGCTACCAGTTTCCAAAATGCATTTGACTGCAATTACGGCCGCACATGGATGAATCTGACCGCAATCCTACCCATAGCTCTGTGGAAAATGTCCTGGTCTGAGTGTCCAATCTTCCTCTCTCTTCCTATTTCCAGCATTCCTGAGACCCCCTTACCCACCCCTCTGGAAGGCTATGTTGCCGACCCCTCTTCCCACCAAGAGGGGAAAGGGAGGGAGATAACCAGAGGCCAGATGGAGAGCGGACCCCGGACCAGCCGCGACCTGTCCTCACACGGTCGGACATCCCGTCAATGGCAGCAGGCGCTCGGGATGTCACCTACCAATAGCATCCTCTCCACACCGCTGTCCAATCCGACCCAAAAAAGGGCGCAAGTGCATCTTCCCGGGGGAGCGTGATACTTCACCGATTCCTCGTCCGGTGAGCATTCTTGTGGCAAAGAAAAGACTATCCATTCTTGTGGCAAAGAAAAGACTATCCATTCGAGTGGCAAAGAAAAGACTGTCTTTAGTCCACGCCAAAGATCATTACTCCGAAAGAGACTACCTTCGTCCCCCGAATACAACTTACTGTCATCATAGCTGTATTTAGACTGAAAGATGCCCCAAAAATAAAGCTAAAATGACCGTACGTTGTATTCGGTGGAAGGAGGTAGCATCCCCACGTCAACGAAATCGGAAGGAAGCTTCACAAAGGAACACCATGAATAGACAGACAGAAGAACGGGATACCTCTGATTCCTGTCATTTGCTGCAGTGGTGGTGAGTCTGGGCCTGGAGAGTGGGTACGAGGCCTGGTGACCCCTGGGGATTGCCGTGGGGGGGTTACATGCGAACGTTGTCATTTGTAAGGCCCTAAGGCACTGGGCGCGTAATGTATACAAATAAAATATTTGAAGAAGACATAAGAAAGTTGAGCCACCGGAGAGGCCAGATGCGTCCGTGACTCTTGAGAGCAGGGGATGCATACTGCCACGTTCCGTGGAAGATGCACTGATACTTCTTTTGTTTCGAAAAGTGGTGAGTGAACGCCCAGACGGACTCTGCACGACCTCAGAAGCGGCAGCTGTGATACAGCCTCTGCTAACTTGTGCTAAGGCACTGTGTCTTTGGTTTGCTTTTCTGGAAGCAATTCGTTAGATCATGCAGCTCGTGGTGGAAACTGGGCCCAGCGTCCAGTGTATTTCAGCAGACATCCAGAAGAGCCGATGTTGAAAATTTGGATATCCAGCACTGCTTCTCGCTCGTCGCTAATTGTTAGGTAAATGTAGCGGAAGGTTGGAGATGGCGCCTCTCAGGCGGCTACTCCACTCATGGAAGGCAAAAGCGCGTGCATGATGCTGCCTGTTGGAAGTGTCCAGGGGACGGGGATCGATTATGGAGACCGCTGACAGACGGAGTAGAAATTTGGTCGAGCTCTAAGCCGATTAAGGTCACGCGATGGGTTCTCGTTTGTAGACAGTAGAAGGGAAGGTTTCTGTGTTTCCTCAGCGTAACCTACATATTGAGTGAAACGTTCGACAGTTGGAAGAGATGGCCACCTGGATGAGACCGCACATCAGGAGGAACATTGTACACATGCAAAGGGGGAACATACCATTCAAGCGCGCTTTAACACCCACACACACACACACACT